TTCTGTGTGCGCCGAGGAGTGAGACAGGGTGCGCTTTTATCGCCGTGCCTCACCAATATGTTTTTATACCCGCTTATCCAACAGCTCGATAACTGTCGCTTGGGCGCCACGCTGTATGGCCACCACATCCCAGCAGTTGCATATGCTGATGATATTCTGATTATGTCTAGTAGCGCACGCGATCTTCAATCAATGCTTCATATCGTCTCCTCCTTCTCAGTGTTGTGGAGGATAGATTTTGTACATGTGAACCAAAGCTTGACCAAGAGTCACAGCTTTATATTCGGGGCCGAGTTCCTCTCTCGGACGCCTCAGTGGCAGCTATGTGGACAGATCCTGAAGCACCGACAGGAAACCACACACCTGGGTGTTGAGCTGCGCTCCCAGCTACACGGTGCCGATCAGGTGACTGCCCGAATTCAGCGGAGCAGGGGTGCGTTCTTTGGCCTAACGCCGGCCGGCATGTTTGATCAGCACCTCTCCGCTGTTGATAAGGCATTTCTATGGCGGATGATTGTCGCTCCTGTTCTGATTTATGGTTGTGAGGTCTGTTTTTTAAGCTCTGGAGATATTGCTCGCCTCGAAGGCTGGCAAGCCTCGGCGGTCAAAAGCGCGCTACGCCTACCGCGCACTGCCCACCACTCCGCACTAATGGCGGCACTTCGCATCCCAAGTGTACAAGCTCTCGTTCGGCGGTCTATTTTTCGCGCTACTCAAAACGCTTTTCGTGGCCAGCACCGCCTCCGTTGTGTGCTGGTGAGTAGCCTGGCCCAGTTGGCGACCAATGCGAGATTCGCGGAAACATCTGCTTCTATTGTGTGCCATCTAATGTCGCTATGTGGGGGAAACTTCATGAGGGTACTGGAGGCTGCCAGCGGTCATATACACGGAGACTGGGTGCACACGCCCAGGCCCGAGTGTGGCCTTGCGGACTCGCTCAGCTGGCTGATGGACAGCAACAGCGCCGAGTCATGGCAGCTAGTAAGGCTGCTTGTAACAATACATCCAAACTGATTCTCCTAGTCCGCCTGATGTAAAAAGCTGCCCGTGCTTTGCAAACGTGACTTTGTTGTGCCGTGCTGTGTTTGTATCTTCATGTGTCACGGTTATGTTATGAAGATATGTTCTCCTTGTTTTGTCCTCAAAGGATGTCAAATAAATATGATGATGATGATGATAGTCCTCAGCCGTACGAAATTGGAAATTATTTGGAAACTCGGTTTGCAAAATTTGACTCCGGCCCTCGTGCTTCGCACTCGGGCCTACGTCAATTTTGCAAACCTCGTTTCCAAATAATTTCGTCGGCCCGGTCAGTAATATATATTGACAATTGTTGGTAAACGTTTAGGAAAGCCTTTAAATTAAATATTCATTCGCTTTAAATTAAGAATGAAGTTAAAATTGAAAATGATATACAGCGCGACATTTGCCCATGAATAACCAAAGGTTTGTTGTCAATAGTTAAAACACTTTTCTATAGAATTGTGTTTTCTATTGAAAAAACAAATCTGAGTTCCCTGACAATTTGGCAAAAGCTGCCTGAGATCATAAGCAATAAATGCGAAACGTCGGGCTGTATATCATTTTACACTTTTAACTTTAGGTACTCTGAATTTAAAGCGAATGAATATTTAATTTAAAGGCATTCCTAAACGCTTATCAACAAGTTACTGGGGTGTCATGAGTCTCCTTCACCTTCATGCATTGCAGGACTTATCAGGTTTCAGAACGATCTCTGAATGAAATAGTGAAAATAAGTGAAAAGAAGAGGGTTGCGCAATGGCAAAATTTATATTCGCTCTTCAGCGTTCCTATCCTCATGGCCCATAACATGAAGTTGCCACCTTTAGCAATAAGCATGTAATGCAAGACATATAGAAATATGTTGGATTTTTTTATATACAGGGTGATTTTTTTTTACTTGTTAAAAAGTAATGAGGTTTAACGGCGCTAAAATGCAAATATATATTGTAAAATTATATACCAGCATGACGAGCATTCTGGGACATTTTGATTTCATGCAGACACGATGCGAAGGAACGTCCATCGTGTATTTTACTTGTGCTTGAAGTTACCCCCTCTCTCACCAATACGAATCAGCCCGCCTGAGCACGTGTTGAACAGCACCATGGACTCCCATGCTCATTAGGCGGACTGAAAAGGCTCCTATCACCCATTTTCAGCTCTGCCAGATATTTCCAATGTTTTCTTGTTATATCTGCCATACCTGGGTCCAAAAACTAGAAGTCTAGAAAGGGCAGGTCGAGGATTTTGCTACTGGCGGCCCTGGTGGTGTCTGATTCGCTGTTTTTCTTTCTCCCTGAAGACTGATTCTTCAGAGGCTGCAGATACGCCAGATGGACCGTTTGAAGGTTATTCATGACTACATGCTTGTTCGTGCATTATTTAACGTCTTTCTGAGGCATCTCCTTGATGATCGTATGCTTCGAACTGCCTCAATGCTTCAAAATTATCGTTTTGTGTCGTTCCTTACTGAACGGCGGTGGACCATGCGTGCCCGATTGGTGGGACATTTTCAGGCTCCATTGGGGCCGAGGCCTTCGGTTAACCCGCGCCCCGTAGGGGGGGGGCCGAAACGGCCCCCCCTGTCCTTTTCGGTCGATATCTCTTAAATGGCTGGAGATATCGCCACCAAACTTTCAGGACCCCTCCGGGCATCAATTTTACACATTGTGACCAAAAATTTTTCCAGAGGCTGTGATAGGTTGGCCACAAATGACGTCAGAGTGACGTCATGTTCTGTCATTTTCGACCGAAAAAAGACCTTCGCGAGAAGACCTGTCAGGCCTACAGCTTTGAAGATACAGAAAAATGATCAAGACATAAAAGGTGTAGAATTGACAGGGCTACAAAACTGCTATCTCGGATTTTTGAAATTTTTGAGTTTTGATCCCCAAAAATCAAAAAAGCATTTTTTTTGGATATATTAGCCAAAAAATCCAAAAAGTTTTTTGAGTTTCGAAAAAAACCGGAACATATGTGATAGTACCTACCATCTTCTATCTACATACCAAATTTCAGATCGATACCTCGTTTTTTGGCCAAGTTATAGCGAAAAAACTGTTCAAAAATGATGACGTCAAATTTTCAAACTCAATTTTTGACAATTCTAGAACTCGTAGAGCAAAACAAAGACCACCATTAGACTCCCCGTGACGAGCTGCATCGAATGGATACCCATTTTATGCAAAAATATCAACTTTGAAATTTGACCTAATTTGACCTGACCTTGACCTGACCTTCACCAAAACGTGGCCTAGGCTGGCCCCAAAGGCTGCCTAACCCACATAATCGCATTTGTCATGTAAAATGGACCATAAAACATGTATCACACGACACATTCATATTGTGACCCCCGGTGACCTGACCTCGCTGTGACCTGACCTGGTATCAGTGACCTCAGATAGCAAAGTATGTGTTTGACGAACAATATACCATCGATGGTTTTCAATAAATTACCAATTTACTCGATTTCACAGCACATTTCTTGAATTGCCTGTGAACGGTGAAAATCTGACCTTTGACCTGACCTGTGACGTCATCGGTTTGACCTAGGTCAATGAAATTTGGTCACAAGGTAGTTCCCGGGTAGGGCTATCAAACGCCGTTTGAATTTTGAAAATCGGCCGGTAACTTTCCGAGATCTTAGGGGGGGGGGCCGAAACGGCCCCCCCCCCCCCCCCCCTACGGGTGGTAGGGTCATCCGGTAGCCCTACGGGGCGCGGGTTAAAAGGGACAAATCATGACACCATGCAAAATGTCCCAGATTTATCTATCACGTGCATTGCTTTTTTGCACAAGATTTTTCGATTTAGGGACCACCATTGACGTTTACTTTTTAACAGTTAAAAAAAAAATCACCCTGTATACCTATTACCTAAGCATTTCTTTTCGTGCATTAACCCGGCAGTTGCTGGGGTATTTCGCCACCCACCGTTTGCTGGGGGGGGGGGGGCGTTAAACGCCCCCAGCCGATAACTCGAGAACCAATAGGCGCAGCGAAACGCACGAGGCGGCAAACGAAAGAACGCGACGAGACGCTTCAGATGAGTACTTTTAAGTTGAATTTTGAGGTCACAGGTCGGGTCAAGGTCAGGTCAAACACCTGAAATTGGGCTTTCAGTAGCATGGACTTCAGGACTTCGCATTGGGCGCCTCTCGTCATAAACTCTGTCAAAACGGTGCACAATCCATCATATACCTCTACAAGAGTGTCAGCTCCATGTAGGGGTCAGTCAAGCATAGGTCAGGGTCAAGGTCAGGTCAACCGGGTAGGCACATATCCCCAAAAATCAAAACTGATATTCGCAGCCTGTGACATATGTTTTATGGGCAATTTGGGGCGTAGAACACGATGGTGACATTCATCATGTCATATGTGTACGTGTTTGGCTCAAAAAGTTCACTTTAAGAAATGCATGTATCATGGTCGTGAAATAGTCACGAGAAATTGCCAAGGTTCAGCTCAAGATTTTGGAAAATGCGGAACGATAATCAATAATCGAAGATAGCCATTTGATTGTTCAAGGTATTGGCAGTCTAATGCCGTTTACGGCATGTCTGTATGTCTATTTTGTGATTTTATATGATTTTTTGAACATATGCCGTTTTTGGTCGAAAACTCAGAAATCATGACGTCACTAAAACCTCGATATCTCAAAAATTTTCCGACCGATTTTTTGAAACTTTGTCACAATAAACTTCATTCAATTCCCTACAGGTACCCAAAATTTGGCGCGCCGCAGCGCGCCGTTTTTATGCTATGGCCCGGCGAAAAAAAGTGGGGGCGTTTAACCCCCCCCCCCCCCAGCAACTCTCGGGTTAAATTTTACATAGTAACCAATTTGTCGTGTAGAAAGTTAATTGACTGTATCATTAGGTACCTACTATATAATATAGCTAAATGTATAAGCACAAAAAAACTATGTTCTATGACACATAACATCACTTTTATAAGGAACAGACAGAACACCACCAACCTCCTTCAAGTCCAGCGGAGTGTTGAAGTCCGATTTCAAAGTAGCGATGAACTTCGGCAGAGCAAATAAAGCACCTCCGTAGCTGAAACAAGTCATCTTCAACGTAAAAGTGCTCAAGCTTGGTACAATTATCTTCCGCACTATGCTTAAAATTTTGCTTGTCGTTTTGAAATCATGAACTCCTGAATCACGTATGATTGTGGATTTTATTGCGACTTTCAGATATTCAGCCCACGTCAGTGCTAAAAATGTGACAAATGTGGTTGGGTCTTACATTTCAGAATAACAATAGACCTAAGACATTGAAATCAGAGACTGTTTTGTCTATTTTTCTTTCCATAAGCAAATTTTCATGACATCCTGCCGCACCATCGATGAGATTTAAACCGTCTAAGAGATGATTCAATACATTAACTCGCACTCGCTCATCGTTGCTCCCTCACTCACATTTCGACGATATCGGTAAAGCTGTTTCGCATGAAGTCCCAGGCGACGTATCTGCCGACAGTGGTGCTGGACACGGCCTTGAAGGCCATCAGGCCGTGGTGCACCCTCAGACCCGAGTCGGACGCGGTCAGCCACCCCAGCATCCTGCGGAAACAGACCGGTAAGTTATACAGAGTGTGTGAAACGAGGCGAGACGAGAACAAGGGCCATGCATGCAAAGGAAAAATTGCACTGTGACCAAAACCGTGACCAAATATAGGTGAACACTAATCATTTTAAAGAAAGTTCCTTGAGACTTCGATTTGCTCTTGTATTCAACTTGCGATGAGCAAATAAAGAACCAACCAGTTGATCTCCAGGTAGTTGAGATGAAAATACCATATATTAAGTAACACCAACCTATACGTTAAAGCAGCACCATTAAATCAGTTTTTTCTACCAATAAATTGCAGATACAAACCTGTTCAATAGCCATATTTTATTTGTACAGGCAAGCGCCTTGAGCAGCTTTTGCCTTTCAGATTCAACGTTGGACTCGTTGAAGCGTCTCCAGACGAACTCCCATTCGGTGAGACCTCCGTCGTGCAGAGCCGTGCAGAACACGCTACTGCGGATGTTGACCGGTATGATGCTGTGGAAAGAAACGTAAGAGGCGAGTCAGCGTAGGATATCGTTAGCATATCGCGACGTTGGCATATAATGTTGTACAAACTACATAACTTGCAAAAAAGGAATCACGTTTTTTTATGCGAAGTTTCTTTTAACAATCAGGCATGCACCAGATTTGTTGGATTTTTTATCTACATCGATCCATACTTCTGACTACCATGTCACCACTTCCGCATTTAACCATTACCTGGCGTTGTCGGGGTCTTCCATCCAGCGTTTGAACATGCTGACTGCCTTGCTGATACAGTCCGGGTGACCCATGGAACATGCCCACACGACCACGTGGTTCCGAGTCAGGTGGTCGATGTGTGAGTCACTGGGACGCTCCTCGAACCCGATGCGGTCATATAGAGGACCGATCAGCTTCAACACGAATGTCTGTAAAATATAAGCAATCGGTAATTAGTGAAAATTGCTTCAAATAACGAAATCAATGAAAATGATGATTAATCGTAAATATATTTGGATCTTGCAGTAGCATAAAATTTCGGCATGAAGTTCCGTAAATCTGACCTTTGCATAAAAGGTTTGTTTTAAGTTGCAGATGACAGGAGACCTACGGCTACCTTATAGCTTTTACTTGTCTGCAAGCCAGTGGTACAATGTATTCCATATGTCAGCAACTCTTCACTCTGTGATTTGCACCTACCCACCTGGAACGCGCCGTAGCCGGCCGTCCGCCTCAGCTGGGTATTGAGGAAGCCCAGGTTGTTGAAGGCGGCGTCCCAGGGCAGGAAGTCAAGCTCCCGCTCCAGATAGCTGACCAGCGAGAGAGCCGTGCTGTAGCTCAGCTGGCCAGCCCGGGCCAGGTCCAGCGCGTCATCCACCAGCTGTTTGCACCAGGTCAGGTCAGGCATGGCACATTATCCACCAGCTGCGTGCACCAGGTCAGGTCAGGTCAGGTGAGGTCAAGCACAAAATCCACCAGCTATATGAGTAAGATCCTGGCCTAATTGTCGGGTTGCTTTTACTTTGCTATAAACCCACAGCTGGACACACTAGTTGAAGCCGAAATAAGAAATAGAATACCGTGTAAAATACAAGCTTTATCAATGAACTGTGTGTCAAGAGTATGCTCACGTGTGTAAGTGAATTACAATAGCCTCACAAATAAGCCACAAAGGAAACCGATTGTCGTTTACCTGAGCTCGGTTTACTGGATGAATTGCGGTATGATCTTCGTTCAACTGCTTTATAAGCATGTCCCAATTTCTCTGGTCGTAATTAACCTTGTAAAATCCCATTTCTTGCACGTTTAAAATGAACCATTCCTCGTCATCAGCCACATCTGGAAAAGGAATAAATGGGCGCGATCAATTCAATAAAATTCGCTACACCTACATTCTTATAGCGTAAATTGTGAAATTGTAACCATTGTGCGCAGAGTCTGTATGAATTAAAATGTTTATCGAAGTAAATGAAATTAACTTTAATATCCCAACTAGTGCCCACCTTCGATGGTGACCTGTCGCTGCCTCCTCATCCAGTGGGTGGGCTGGGTGCGGTTGAAGTTGGCTGCTGACCTCGAGGTGAACACCAGGGGGACCCACCACAGGAACTCGGTGGAGTTGTCGGCTGCTCCGAACAGGAATCGATTCTGAGCGTGAGAAAAAAGCACAGCAAAATAACAGCATGGGACACGGGTTGAATGTTTGCTTAACAAAAAGGCTATTCAAACAAAGTTTAGGAGACGAACACACCACGTCACGGATACCTATCTCTGAATAGAAGTTTTCTAAGCACTAATCTCACTAATGAAGGCAAGGCACACCCTCCCCGCTCCGCTGTCAAGCTGACCTGCGTCATCTGCGCCGACCTTTTGCCGTAGTTCCTGACCACGGTCACGAGCGGGAAGCCCATCTGCAGTGTCCACGTGTCCATGACCTGTTTGACAGTGACGTCATCGGGTAGCGTGCCGTCCCGGTGCGCCTGCTCCGTCAGGAAGCGCCACAGGTCGTCCTGGGTCGCCGCACGGTACTGCCTGCCAGGGATTGATCAAATTCTAATTTTCATTAGTTATCATTATTGCACACAGGCTACGTAAGTAAGCCAATGAATTTCAGAACAGGCAAACCTAGGATATCAATCAGTTTCCAATTCGTCAGCATGTCAACCTAAAATGACCCATTTTTATAATTTAGACGGTACCGTATCATGAGGCAAACTTACATGGCGGTGAGATAGTTGGTGAGAGCGCCCCGCAGAGTTTTTCTCGTCAGCATGTGATCCAACATCCTGATGATCGAGTTACCTGGAACGCGGTAATCGTTAGGGCTAAGGTCTGAAAGCAGTAGCGGCGGAACACCTTCAATTAAGGGGGGGGGGAGCACTTCCGACTTTTGGTCCCATTCTTTCCATGCAACGCCCATAGGGCTAATGTTAAAATGCCAAAATCAAAGGAGGGCACGGTGCCCCGGTGCCCTCCCCGTTCCGCCGCCTATGTCTGAAAGCATTGTGCATGTCATTGGAATGTAAGTAACCGGCAAAACTGGATACTCAGCACATACTATAGGGAACTATAGGGAACAAGCAAAACGCAGCTGTCACTTCCTTTTTACATTCACATGCACGCATGTTGTATTTGCATGATCATTGAATGCTAGTGAAGGAAAATAGCATGCTTGTCAATTAATTCCAGATTGTTCTCCTCCTATGATGCGATGTTTTCACTTCTAAGCTCAGTAGATCCATTTCATTTTCATGCACTGTGCTCAATCCCCTTCAAAATTCCCCTCATATGTGATTTTCTTTAACGAGCGACAGAGATATCTCACCTTTATCGTAGGATATTTTATCGAAGATTTGTCCGATGTCGTCCGGGTGTTGGACAGGGATAGAGATGGCGTGCGAGCTGCGCAGCGCATCTACCGTCATCACCCCCTGTAACTCATTGGTAACCATCTGATCCATGGCGCGCCACGTCGGCTCCACCTGCAGACGGTCAGGTGGGGCGAAGACGGTCAGGTGGGGCGAAGACGGTCAGGTGGGGCGAAAACGGTCAGCTGGGGCAAGGATGGTCACCGTCAGCCTTACGAATAGTGGGTGTTTTGCTGTAGGGCGTGTGAATGTATGTGGAAAATTGTTATTATCTCTGATGCGTGCTTTACTTGTATAAATACGACTGTTTTCATGTGCGTTTTCGTTTTAGATGTGTTGTACTCCAGGCTACATAACTATAACTATAGATTTTATGTAAAGCTGATTTAGTTACCTGATTTGTTGATCACACACAACTATTGAATGCATCGCCATCGGTGACCAATCATGTTTCATTACTCGCTTGTACAAAATGCACATGAATGCGTATTATGCTAATATAAACCCACCTCTTGTGTTCCCATGACTCCCATGTAGCTGGCGAAGCCCTCTTTGAGCCAGAGATCTGTCCACCAGCTAGGGGTGGCGAGATCACCGAACCACTGGTGGGCCAGTTCATGTGAGACTACGTCTGCCACGCGCTTCTTGTTGGCTTCTGACGATACCTCCGGGTCGTACAGCATCGACGTCTCCCTGACGGTAACAGGTACGATGCTCAAAAGACGTCTGGGATCGTTTGTAAAAGGTAAGACAGTTAACGATTAATTACAAAAAGCTACAACATAAAAGAAAACATACAAAAAAGTACTAAAAATGATCGAATGTGGCCAAAAAGGTAATATGGGTTTGACGATATTTGGTTATCGGAACATTTGTTTCATAGGCGACGGAACGTGGAGGGCACCGGGGCACCGTGGCCCCCTTTGATTTTGGCATTTTAAATTATAGCCCTATATGGGCGTTGCATGGAAAGAATGAGACCAAAAGTCGGCAGTGCATTATCAAAATAGATATAGTACCTAAGGGTCAGATTTTTAGTGTGGTCCTTCATTAGAGTCAGCGCATTCACGTTCATGTGACCAGTCAACATATACAGCGGCCATATAACATATATCAGCGCCCCCCCCCTTGATTGAAGGTGTTCCGCCGCTATTGTTTTGTTTGAAAGATAAATAGCAGAATCACTCTAGTTAGCATTGATTTTAAAAGATTTTCGAACCGTCGGCTATGTTTTATACTGCTTGGTCCAGATGTCAATTGACAGGGGAAGTTCAAACATTTTTCCTCCATCGGGGCGTGGAAATGAAGACTTTCACTTTCCGCTTGGCAGAGTGCGAGATTTGTCCTCATGAATGCCTTACACATACATACCTGTAGGTGATGAGCCCCCAGTTTTCCATGCCACCAAACGGAAAGTCGGGAATGGCGGCCATGTCCAGTTTGGGCAAAGGGAAGTCGATCTGGAAGAAGTCCTCGAAGAACTCAAGGATGGTCGGTCCTATTTTGCGAGCGTACTCGGTGTGGTTGATGGCTGCCGGCTGCGACCAGACTGCGGACGGTGAACACGTGTCACTAGGAGGCAGGAGACCAGTAAGCCAGCATCAACTTGTTTATGCATGCAGTGCTGTACGCTCACGATGTCTGACGGCGTCACACATGTGTAGAACCAGAGGTGTTTACAAGTTATATCATCAGCACGCAGCACGTGGCAGCTAATTCAGGAAAATTTACATGTTGACCGGTCACATGAACGTGAATGCGCTGACTCTATTGAAGGACAACGCTAAAAACCTGGCACTTAGGTATCTGTTTTGATAATACACATCAAACAGTTCGATATTCATATATTTGTAAGAGATATGACGTGTAATTGCCCGTCAGAACCCTCACCTGTACCTACCTATGGGTGTTTTGCCGGCCGCGAGCGATATAAGGGAGAGGGTCCGTTGGACCCCCCTTTCCGTTTTGCCCCTGATTGAACTATAGCTTCGCAGAAATAACGAGCGTGTTGCCCGCGGACAAAAACAAGTTGATGGTACCCAATTTTTAGGTCCTAGGTCATTGGCTGACCTTCCAGGTCAGGTCAATGACCTAAGTCAGGAAAATCGGGACCTATTAGAACATCGTAAAGGGTGGCTGCTGTGAGGTTTTTCGGGGTGCTGATCACGAAAATCATGCTGGTTTTGATCACGTATGCTGTCTTCACGCATTTAGGCCAGGTCGGGTCAGTAAGGCCAGGTCAACAAGTAGAGGTTTTGCCGGATATTCGTAGTAGGTGTCAACCGCCTCTGACAGCTTCGTAACAGGTTACGAAGACACCAAAACTACTACGTAAATTTTCAAATGGCTGCTAAATTCGAATTCAGCTCCAATAACTAGCCTAGAAACATGTAAAACTCGAAAAATGAACTGAGGTCATTAAGGGTCAGTGACCTGACCTGACCTTCAGGTGAACTTGACAACCACCCTAATGCATGGGAGTGGGACCAACATCATATTACATATTTGAACGCTTTAGACCTGATGAAAAGATTGCAAACGCGCAGCTAATGCGAGCAGACATACGCCAAATCGCAATTGCGGTCAAAGATGGTCTCGAGAAATAGGTCACAGATCAAAGGTCATTTGGGTCAGGGTCATGAAATTTTTAGGGTTGGTGCCAAATTGATTAACTTGAGGGTAATGAAAGTTTCGTTGCGATCAGCCGCTTTTTAGGTGAGTTATTCGCGAAAAACCGAGCCCCTCTGCCCGATGCAGGCAGGGATTGTTAGCACATCTGCACCAGGCATCATGTCACTAAGCAACTCAGCATGACTCGTGATGACAGCAACTCAGCATGATGCATCTCCCACACGCTCCACTTTGGCACCGGTTCCTCCTTGGTCTCACCTCTGAAGTGGGTGTCGCTGAGCGCAGGGTCCGCCACTCGGTGCGACATGTCCGTCACGATGAAACCCACCACGTACGTAGACATGGGCAGCGACCTCTCGAACGTGTCCCACACAAAGTTGGCCCTCTCCGGGCTGCGACACATGACACATGACCGTGACATTTTGGACACGAGTGGCTACGACCCAACCGTGCGGAGATGATGCAGTTGGATTTCGGGGTAATGAACAGTGAACACGGTTCTCCAATTATGTCACCGAGGAATGCCAATCACATATATAAGCACATTCAACATACGATAATAATGCCAACCAGTCCTATATATAAGGGCAAGCAAATAACCTTCCGCCTGTAAATCTGTCAGCCCTATTTTCACACGGTGTTAATGGGGTCCTGCATGGTCAGTCCTGCACTTACTACACCTTAGTGCGATCGAGACACAAAACACCTCAGATTTACCCACCAGATGACACGTTGACGACAGCGGTGACGCTGAATTGCGTCAGTCTGTCGTTCTGTCACAGAAATCCCCTCTCACTTTGGTTCTGTGGTGCTGAGCGGCATGTTCGAGATGGCCGTCATGTTTTTATGACGTCCCAGAGTGATCTCAAACGTCGCCTTCAGCGCCGGCTCGTCCAGGCAGGGGAACGCCTTCCTGGCATCGTTCGGAGAAAACTGCGTCACCGCCATCCACCTGAAACCAGATTATGGCGGAAACACAATAGGTAAGCCGGCTTATTGAGGTCCTACCACCGAAATAGCAGACTACGAGGTGTACGAGAGCTCAACTGTCTGCAAAAAGCAGGCACATCAACATAATAAGGCCGGATAGAGCTAGGCTGATACTCATCCAGACAGCTTAATTATTCAGCTTTGAGCTCGTTTTTTGAGAGCTAACAATATTATCATATCAGACAGCATTATTTTACATGACAATGAACCACGGCTGACGTCGTGAGGCGAGACAATTACGAAAGTAAATGCTGTGTAATGCGATCACATAAGTAAGCTTGATTATGGAGTTCACATACAACTTCATTATCACCGTTCAAATGTGTCAAAAGGTGAGTACTTACTACTTATTCATTTCTATTTTGATTTGTCATCCGGCCACTAGACTTGTTTGATTTGTGATTGTCCCATGGCAAAACAGCAAAGCAACTGTTTATTCCGTGTACAAAAAAAAAACTGTTATCACAAGAACAAATATCGATAATTGGTTACGCCCACTCACCGTTTTTCTCCCTCTGATGTGGTGTAGCTGCTGCGGTAAAAGCCGGCCAGCTTGTCGTTGAGGGTGCCGGAGAACTTGACGTTGACGCTGTAGTTGTGGCCCGGCACCACCGGCTCCGCCAGCACCACCACCAGAAACTCGCGCTCGACGTCATGCACCAGCCGAACAACGGGGACCTGCCTGTCATCGGTCACGTCCGTCACCGCCACGGAGTCGTCGGAGACGAGCAGCTGGCTGACGTGCAGCGTGACGTTGTCGCCGGCGGCGTCCGCCCGCAGCGTGACCGTCACCTCGCCGCTGAAGCTGAAGTTGCCCTCCTCGAAGAGCGGCAGCGTGCGCAGCTGGTAGGCCAGCGGCACCAGGTGCCGAGGCAGTCGGATGTCGGGCGCCGGCCGGTCGGCGGCGGCGGTCTCATCGGAGACGACGGGCGCGGCGCGTGCCTCGGAGGGCGCGCCGTCGGCCGGCGTGCCGAGGTGGTGCACCAGCAGGCCGGTGGCCAGCAGACAGGCTGCCAGCAGGAGCAGCAGCAGCAGGCCGCGCCGCCAGGTGAGCAGCACGCCCGAGCGGCGTGTGAAGCTCACCTGGTGAGGCTCCTCGGTCAGCTGCTCGGCCGGCGGCATCGCGACCAGCCGCGCCTACCTAGGGAGATGGAATATGAGCGCTCTGAGCAGTACGGTTTGGAAGTGACACTGCTTCCAGCGACGCTTCTAAAATGCCACGATCCAATTGCCCCAATCCTCCTGACGTATAAATGTGAATCGATCGTGTGCAAGAGTTGCTGGATTTCTATCTTGTATTAAAAGTTGCAGAACTTTACTTCATGTCTCGACTCTTGATAATTAATTTCACTGCAAAGTATGATAACTTATAATCATTCCCTGATGCTACTTGCGAGCAAAGTGTCCGCATTAACACACCCGTTTAGACTCTAAATACCCTCCAACCGCGCCGGGGGGGGAGGGGGTGAACACTTCTTTGCGGCTTTCCGTGAACGTCTAAAAAACGGCGGCTTATCATGCATCTTTTCTGCACATGTGTGACAATTTTAGACCCAGGTCTTTCAAGGTCAGATCACAAGGTCACGTCAAGTGACCTTACCTCAGAAAAAGCTATAATGCTCGCCAATGCTACACCTACATAACAATCACGATTTCTTTGAAAATTTCAGCGATTGATGAACAGCAGTATGTTAGGACGTTTATCTGTCGGAATTTTGATAGCGAAAACCTAAGATCAGGTCAATTTTGCGACATTTTCATTAAGTATAAGTCCTTTTGAGAGGGAAATGAATGGCGCTTTTGTGGACGGATGAAATTTGAGTCAAATAAAATGCTCTCAAACATCGGGCTACATGTAAACATGACACATTGAATCGGAAAATTGTATCCATGTCCCTCCATTACGCCTCTGATGTCGTCTCTTTACAGACCGTACTCAGTCAGTGCACTAGTACAGTCCGTAACGGCAAATGATTTAATAGTTAGCGAGTCAGCACAAACCACCACATGGCAACTGGTCCGCTGGGGTCCGTTTAGTCTCTATACAAACGATAACAATGATGAGTGCAGACACATGTGCCCGCCCATTTATTGTGTAGAGATCACAGCCGGTAAACGGGCGAGCCCGTGGTGGTGTGTGCAGCAGAGCGAAACTCGCACCGAGCTGCAGCAGCTGCACGGACAATAGCTGTTGCACACAGTCCGACACACCTTCCTACAAATCAGTGATGACAAACCTTAGGCAAACTAGAGCGTTTTGCATTTTCATGACAAAAGAGCACAATACCCAAGTCATATTAGCTCTATCAGACACAAAATGGAGAAGCTTTCCTGAGCAGAGCTCTCCAAAGACCGGTATCTCACTGGTATCGACCGGTGTTCACCTAATGGAGCCTCTCGCAGATATGCCTGAAGGCTGGAGCGCCGGCTCTCCGGTCTCTCTGGTGAAACCGGCCGATAGAAAGCAAATCTGGTGGGATTCATGATGCTATCGGTCGTGATTTGTTGGCGGTATGCTGATAGCTGTCTGTGATCGACGCGTCACAGCGATGCTACAGTCACGGTGCTACAGTAGACTGGACAGCAGACAGGGGACAGTGATAGATGTTTTCTGGCATAGCATAAGGAGGCCGCACGAGCTCACCCGTCAAATGCAGGGAACGTATGTTCGGATTTCTGTTATTGAAAGTGATTTGCCTATTTTGCAAGTGATTCAAAGAATTATCCAAATTATTGAGACGGTAAAATCAGTTCAATCGCTGCAAAATATTTCAAAACGTTTCAGACTTCTTGCGAGACTACAAGTGGCATTGACTTGCACGACGTTTTGTCTCATCAGTGACAACAGAAGTAAGTTGTGTTCGTCATGGTCATGTTAGTTCATGTCAGCTTTGAAGCAGCCGAAAAAGAAACGTTACCTCACTCGCCCAATTTTACTTATGCAGTCGGGCAATGCATGCATAGCTCACATCCAACTCCGTACATGCAGCAATGGCCCACACTTCACCCCGTGCGTAAATACCGCATATATTAGCGGCTCACATAACACATCATTGGCCAACACAAGTAAACATTAGTCATTCCAACGTCAATACTCACCTGTGCTGTACTTTCCTCGGAGCTCCCTTCCGTTTTCCGTCTGCGCTGGCCACTGGGTCTACAACTCTACACAGTTCGAGTATATTTGCCGAGCGCAGCGGACGGTGTCGTCCCCGCTGGGCCGTACACCCGACTGACCCCACCAAACGAGCCACCGGCCGCAGCCCCGAGGGACCGGTCAGGCAACACACATACCTGCAGGTGCCGAGCTGACGTATCGGTAGGCCGCGCCGCACCGCCAGCACCGAAGCCAAACCACGACTAACCTGGGTGCGCGATCCTACGCGGCACTCGCTAATTATAAATTCAGTACATGTAGGCATTAGTGATGCAAATATGATACCAGTCGGGCCCACGCAACTGACTGGACTGCAGATGCGCCAGGTAATCCAAGGACAATGCTTTGACAGATCGGCTGCATAGAGAGCTTGTGTAAAATGTTTGTTATCGCGTAGCACGTGCGCCGGTGTGTCCGTGTCACGTGCGTTTGTGTCTTCTAACCCACAGCTGTCTACACAACTGTCAGCTGTCATGTCACCAGCCAGTGACACCAGACAGTCACCAGTGACGGTCCCGCGGGGCTGTGCAGCTGGTGTCTCGTGTGGTGGGGTCAGTCTGGTGTGTGTGTACGGCTCAGAGAGAACGATACAGTCCATACAGTTCAGAGTCACACTGAACGGCAAAACGTCGGAATGGACTAGTGTCATTTCGGGAACTCCAGAGGGGTCATTGATTGCTCCGATCCTATTTTCTATTTTTATCAATGACCTCCCTTCCGATCTAGACTCAGAATGTTTACTCTACGCAGACGATGCCAAAATCTTCAGGAAAATCACGACGCGCCAGGATGCTGCCACTCTGCATACGGACATCGACCGGCTGAGCTCCTGGTCGGCCACATGGGGTCTGTCTCTAAACCCAGCCAAATGTAAAGCATTCAGTGTGACTCTGCGGCGCGCTCCCGTTCGGACCACCTACCGTATTGGCAGCGCTGTTCTGGAGAGCGTAGACGAGATCAAAGATCTTGGCGTCACAATTGACAGCAAGCTGTCGTTTTCGGCGCACGTGTCCCGGATTGTATGCCAGGCAAACAGGGCCCTAGGCCTGATGATCAGAACCTTTCAGGCCGGGACTAAGAGATCGAAATTTAACAAACATACGTTACTCGTTACTTACTATGCCAATGTTCGTTCAATTTTGGAATACGGTTGCGTGGTCTGGGCGGGAGCGGCCAAATCCCACACAGAGCGGGTTGATCGTGTGCAGCACAAATTCTTGTTGTGGTTGAATAGCCACACATCCTCGCCATGTTCCTCTCTGTCCTATCCTTCTCTTCTGCATCATTTTGGTATTACATCACTGTCTGTCCGTAGAAACCAACACGACCTGCTCTTCCTGAGGAATATCCTGGCCGGTAAAATCCGTTCTTCTAACCTCCTTGGTAGATTTCCGCTCCATGTGCCGCCGCGATCAACCCGCTCACAGCGGCTCTTCGCCGAGCTTCCCTGGCGCGTAAGGACCGTCGGGGATGGTTTTCTGCGCCGACTACCGAGGGCCATGAACGTGTTTTTAACTAGAAGTACCGCTGATGTTTTTAGCGATAGTTTCTACACTTTTAGAGGACACGTTTTAAATTATGTGAAAGGGCTGGAAGCGGCGTGATCGCATCCGCTGTGCTTTTAGTGTTTCTTGTTTACTAGGCTTTTTAGGCTATTATTTATTTATTTACATCTCCTGTGTTTATAACCCTACGTGTTTTTATCTTCAGTGTGTGTGTGTGTATGTAGGGGTGTGTGTGTTGTGTGTGTGGGTGGGTGCTGTTTTACTGTCTCTTTGACTTCGCCTTTTAAGTGGACTTATTGTCTGTTGGCGATTTTAAATATACAAATACAAATACAAACACTACTGCGCTCAGCAAATATTCAAACCGTATAGTGTTATAGACTCAGCACAGACAGAATACACACGGGAGCTACAGATAGCACAGGTGAGTTTTGGCTGGTGGGTGAGTGATGAATGTACTTGTCCGTAGGTTTACGCAGCAGTTGAGGGTTTCACAGTCTTTGATCTATGTACCTATTGTCCATACTTACGCCCGCGCGGTATAGGTACGCAAGGTGATAGGCAGCCGGTAGGGATGGACTGGGACATGCATTTATAACCAGCAAACTGCGTTGTATCATTGACGTGACATACCTCGAGAAGACTACGAGTACACTAAAGGACGTTGAAATTAGCAGGCTTATTTCAAAATTCAGCTACGCTCTTTAAATTTCTTTTTTTTACCTTCATTTCATCGTCCTAACAGCTCGATCATAGTTTTCCCAGCAGGCCGAGCTATGAGTTGATGCACTACTATAAGTGATTCAACCTTCGCCCGCTATGTTAAATTCATTCGTCGAAGAGGAATGGGGTGTGCCGGGGTGCGTTAGACGTGTTTAGAACAGGAGGACGGATGCATGTGCAAATGTATGTCAGTCACGCTCAGACGCTTGTGTTATTTCCATCCACGCGTATATTGCGATGTGTTTGAAAAACTGCAGCGTTTCTCGGCCAATCTCTTTCTTAGAAACGATCGATTCAACCATTCAATCCGTGCCAGCAGCCACCATGTGAATTCACAGTCTTCAAACTAATACGAAAATAATTACTCTCAGATTTGCCATCATCTATACTGCTTGCGATAGGTATGGAATATTTAAATTGAATGTGTCTTTAATCTGCTGATGATGCTAATTAGTATTCTGATAGTAATTGGTGAAGTTATGCATTGTTATAGTTATATACAGCATGTGCTACACCTTGCAGTGCGCATCCGTCTTGCCACGCTCTGGCGGCCAGCAGGAGAGTTGAGCCGAAAATTCCAATGGCTCCCGGCCCCGGTTACGATGCCCCGTCACGATGCGGCGGAAGCCGGTCTGTCCTTGAGTCGCGGGGCGGGACCTCCCTCCGCTCCGCGTGGTCCAGCCTCGGGGCACGGAGCGTGGCTCAGCATCCGAATGGGGCGCAGAGAGCAGAGAGCTTGTCTCCACGAGAGGGAGACGCAGTAGAGTAAGCCTGAGGGAGCAACAGTTGGTGCATGTTGAGCGCCGTGGGGTAAAGCCTGGAGGGCATCGCGTCGTGCCTTCGCTTAGGCCAAGGAGCATCGTCGCGGTAAGTCAAACGCTTCAAATTGCATCTGAAAATGCATTTACATTACATCCTCATGGCTTGTGTCTATAAGACTGTTTTCATTTCATCTCTGGGTTTGTAAAAGCGTGAGCTTGTCGGTCCGCTTCTGGGAAAGAGTGTTTCCAAAGACGAGTAACAAATGGAATGTTGACTGTCTAGTGTCCATTGTTTTCTTTTTTTGTACAATCTAGTTTTTTTTTTTGCATCACGTTTCTTTTCTCGACACGATGAAAATCGTCATGAATAGAGGAAGCTACATATGTGCGGTAGGCATTTACAGGGTTAAAAAAAAAAAAACAGAATTGACCACCCATTCATTGTCTGCTTTCCTTTCCAGAATACTTGCGTGAGTTTTTTTGCGAAAAATACATAAATACCAAACCTCAAAGTGTCAGAAAAAAGACACTGAATCCTCCCCTCATAGCTTTCGTAAACATTTATCTCCCCCAGGTCTCTCCCCCAGGTGGCTGGTCGCGATGCCGCCGGCCGAGCAGCTGACCGAGGAGCCTCACCAGGTGAGCTTCACACGCCGCTCGGGCGTGCTGCTCACCTGGCGGCGCGGCCTGCTGCTGCTGCTCCTGCTGGCCGCCTGTCTGCTGGCCACCGGCCTGCTGGTGCACCACCTCGGCACGCCGGCCGACGGCGCGTCCTCCGAGGCACGCGCCGCGCCCGTCGTCTCCGATGAGACCGCCGCCACCGACCGGCCGGCGCCCGACATCCGGCTGCCTCGGCACCTGGTGCCGCTGGCCTACCAGCTGCGCACGCTGCCGCTCTTCGAGGAGGGTAACTTCAGCTTCAGCGGCGAGGTGACGGTCACGCTGCGGGCGGACGCCGCCGGCGACAACGTCACGCTGCACGTCAGCCAGCTGCTCGTCTCCGACGACTCCGTGGCGGTGACGGACGTGACCGACGACAGGCAGGTGCCCGTTGTTCGGCTGGTGCACGACGTCGAGCGCGAGTTTCTGGTGGTGGTGCTGGCGGAGCTGGTGGTGCCGGGCCACAACTACAGCGTCAACGTCAAGTTCTCCAGCACCCTCAACGACAAGCTGGCCGGCTTTTACCGCAGCAGCTACTACACTTCGGAGGGAGAAAAACGGTAAGTCATGGGAGTTCATGAGGGTAGGTATATTACAGTGAGCTCCAGGCTGCAGAGTGCAGAGCCCAGTCATCAGAAGTGGTATTTTCCTGGCCGGCCCTGATCGTGTCCTTGTAAAATCCCCGACTGTCAATATGTAACTCTCCCGAGTCTGACTACACCTTTTACCGTGACCTTCTCAGGTGGATGGCGGTCACTCAGATGGCTCCGACCGACGCAAGAAAGGTGTTCCCCTGCCTGGACGAGCCGGCACTGAAGGCGACGTTTGAGATCACTCTGGGACGTCATAAAAACATGACGGCCATCTCGAACATGCCGCTCAGCACCACAGAACCAAAGTGAGAGGGATGCTTCCACATTTGCCAACTATTTCGTACATAGTTTAAGAGCGACTCTCTTCCCTCGCGAAGTCTTGCGAAGTTGAGGTAAGTAAGAAAAAGCTAGCGGCTAAATGCAGACCGAAAAAGTAGCATTCCAGTTCGTTCCTCAATATGTTCTGCATAATGTATGCAGTTCTTCGCGTGTTCACTCACCAAAGCATGCCTATCAATTGATTATAGACGCGTCCTTTCTCCGACGTCACTCTAACCGCGATCACAATCTTTATTACAGTCCGGAGAAGACAGATTTTGTCTGGGACACGTTCGAGAAATCCATGCCGATGTCCACTTACCTGGTGGCGTTTGTGGTTTCGGACATGGTCGCCAGGGAGTCCGACCCTTCTCTCAGCGACACTCGCTTCAGAGGTCAGTGGAAGGAGGGAAACGGGAGACATCACTAGTGTTAGATGATTCAACTGTTCTTTTGATGATGATGAGTAAAAGCAACAATTATATTGTTTTCGGTTACACCCCTTACTATGCGACTGGTTTATAGGCATGAGGGTGGAGGGTGGGAGGGGGTTCCTACGGTCGAAAACTGGAGTTGTCCGTTGCCGTCCAACCTCAACCACTGAGCTTGGCCTATATGTGGATAAAAAAGACCGTAATCGACCTAAAAAATATGTAAGTGCGTGATTTCCAATGTATTCGCTCCATTCATGGAAATTACGTTGATTCATAAATGGCTCACGAATGATCCTTTTTTTGTACAATAAATAAAAATATTACCTTTTTCCAGTTTGGTCCCGTGCAGAAGCTGAGGAGCAGACGGAGTACGCTGGAAAGATCGGTCCCGCCATATTGGAATATTACGAGGACTTTTTCAAGACAGACTTCCCGTTACCAAAACAAGACATGGCAGCCATGCCTGACTTCCCTTTTAGGGGAATGGAGAACTGGGGGCTCATCTTGTACAGGTAAATGGACACTGAAGATGGTACACAAGATGGTTGTATAGAAACTTACCTAACCGTTTATTTCAGAGATATACTAGTCTACTGAAAAAAATAAAGTTATGTTTACAGGCACAATCTTGTAGCAATTGCTGATTCTTTGGCAATCACTGATACAGTTTTAGCACAGCAAGGTCAAGGAAAGCAAACATAAAAATAGCTGAACGTTAACAGTGAAGTTGACCTCAGTAACATGGTCCTAGAGCCCCGAACTTTCATGAACGCTTATCGTAACGCTATACATACATACCTAACTACAGGGCCTGTAAAGTTTCGTGGTCGCAAATGTTGAAGCATGTTCGCTCCCTGATTGGTGCATTTGTGGACAGCGAGGCGGCACTGCTGCTGGACCCGGAGGTGACCTCAGCTGCCAGCAAACAGGCGCTGACCCAGGTGGTGGCCCACGAGCTGGCCCACATGTGGTTCGGCGACCTGGTCACCCCCGCCTGGTGGAATGACATCTGGCTCAACGAGGGATTCGCCAGATACGTGGAGATGCTCGGAACGCACAAGGTGATTGAAACGACAACAGAGTGAGTGCACTTTGATATAACGACGCGCGGCTAGTGTGCATGACGCAACAACTGAAAACCATGGAAATCGTTTAGCCTTGACATGAATATACATAATTATGTCCTGATCGATGAACAAACCTCCCTTCCTGTGTCCCCGTCTCGCCACAGGTGAAGCCTTCCTGGCTGGTGCCCGATCAGATGGTGACCCGGGTCACGCAAGAGGTGATGTCTGTGGACTCCCTGCGCAGCTCACGTCCTGTCTCCATCGACGTGAACAGCTCCGACGACATTGACCAGATGTTCGACAAGATATCGTATCAAAAAGGTTAGATGGCGGGGACTGATTATTGGGCGGCGAAGGATGAATGGATGGTGTAGCAGAAGTGACTACAATGGGAGCACCTGCGTTCCCGGTTCACGTTAACTAACCTATATCAATTTGTATGCGTTAAATTACAATCGATGCCTGCCAATAAACAGACGACAAAGCATCGTCACTTGTATGTGTCATGTGTCCGATTTACATACAGTTGAATTTATTGATGAACCGACGCTCCCTTTCATTGCAATGTTTCAGGTGCTTCAATTATCAGAATGCTGGACAAAATGTTGACCAGAGAAACCCTCCGAGAAGCCTTGTCTAACTACCTCAGGGCGATGTAAGTTGATGCACTGCTAATGAACAGGAATTATTATTACAACTGGGTGCGAGTGGAAAAATTTTAGGATGATCATGTCCAATTGGAATGTGGAATGCGGAATGAAACTGAAGTAGTTATTCACAACATTTTCATTACGCGTTGATTTATTTGTTTTATCATTTGCCAGCATTGGCAACCAGCATGCAGATGACGAGATGAGAACATCGTTGAAAATGTTCGCATAACAATACAAAATGATGTGCAGTATTTTAGTGCGAATTGCGTCTTTGAAGGCAGTACCGTGCGGCGACCCAGGACGACCTGTGGCGCTTCCTGACGGAGCAGGCGCACCGAGACGGCACGCTACCCGATGACGTCACCGTCAAACAGGTCATGGACACGTGGACACTGCAGATGGGGTTCCCTCTGGTGACCGTGGTCAGGAACTACGGCAAAAGGTCGGCGCAGATCACGCAGGTCAGGATAAAATCGAAAGAAAATACTACGTTGTACTGCTTATAAACTGTATGGTCTACTCAGGTACAAACATATTACATACCACCAGTAAAACGCCTTTTGGGCGAAGAACGAGCGAGCGAGATAGTGAGCCCTGCACGTGCAGAAGGGCGAGAGAGTACTTCCAACGGGCTTGTGCAAAGCACCCTTCTAACCGGTCGCTAGCGGTGTACCAAATTTGAACGCAATCGGCCCATCCGTTCCTGAGATCTGGAAGCGGCATTCTGCACGTGCGCACGTGCAAACGGGGTCAAAAATGACTTTTGCACGGCACTCTACTAACCGGTCCCCAACCGTGTACCAAATTTGAGCGCAATCAGCCCAGCCGTTCTCGAGATCTGGAAACGCCCCCTGCACGTGCGCACGTGCAGTAGCACCCTAACCGCAACACATGGGAATGCATTGCCTGGTGGGTGCCTACCTGTATGCCAAGTTTCAGCGAAATCGCCCCAGTAATTACCGAGTTACTGAAATGGGAACAAATTTGGCACCTCTTATTGTTGTATTTTGCACGTGCAGTGGGGGTCACTCACATAGATGAAGAGTATCCGACCTTTGGTAGAAGGGATGCAGCTACCCTATAAAAATGACCGCAAGACAATCGCTCAAGCCGCTGCTGAGATATGGGCCTCTCAAAATCATTACTTTTGCAAAACTGCTTGAACACCCTTGACTTTTCACGTGGCACGTGCCACGGCGGTCACTGAGATGTATCAAAAGTAGTCAATTACGGGGTAGAAGGGATGGGGCTACCCAGCAAAAAAGACCGCAGGCCATTCGGTCCAGCGGTTGCTGAGATATAAGCCTCTCAAAAGCGTTACAGGCCGGGCCGGGCCGGGCCGGGCCGCTCATACTGAGATTTTTCCGTTATATTGAAAAGACTTCGCTTCGCTCGCTGCGCTCGCTCGCTCGTAATGATTTTTCTGAGGAGGAGGGGAGGAATGTTCACTAATAAAAGCGTTCAAAACAAAAAGCTCGCGTTGTCTATCATCTTCAGGTGCATGCATTCTGTTTAGTCAATTGTTTTGCATTTCCTTACATAAATACGAATCAAATGTTTTTTTTTTCAGAACCGTTTTCTGCTAGACGGGATCGACAACTCTACCGATTATCTTTGGTGGATTCCTCTGACATTCACGACCAAAGCCAAGGCTAATTTCGACACCATTCAACCTTTCAACTGGATGAGGAAGGAACGTCAATCAACCATCAATTGCAAGTTTATAAGCTGTCTGCTCTTCTCTATCGTCTGATATAATAAAACGTTATACATTGACGTATATAATAGCTCTTATTATATGGTTGTAAAATATGTTTGAACTATATAAGATTATTTAATGTCACTAAATTACATGTTACGATAAAGCTAGCGTACATACATACAAGCAAGTTCAGCGTCGGACAGCTTTTCACGTCTATCCATCGTGCTTGCCTTTTATGAAATGGGTACGGTAATCATATCGTTTTCACATACTTGATGTTGCAACTTCGCTGGAATCATCTTTCAGATGTTGCCGATGACGAAGACTGGATGATTCTGAATGTGCAACAGATGGGTTTCTTCAAAGTCAACTATGATGCAAGAAACTGGAAAATGATAACAGCACAGCTCCACCAGAATCACAGCGCTTTCCATGTCCTCAACCGAGCGCAGGTGAGAAATGAATTATGATAAGTAAGACGATCGGTATAATTTGTATTAACTCGTTCGTACGACCCGTGCCATGCATACTTTGATGGAGATGAAGTGCAGGAAGTGCATGGAGTCAGCAAGTGCACCTTGAGCTCATCCACACACAGTTGACTTAAGATCGACTGGACCTTGTCTGGCCTGTAACCTGACCTGACCTGACCTGACCTGGTGCCCACAGCTGGTGGATGACGCGCTGGACCTGGCCCGGGCTGGCCAGCTGAGCTACAGCACGGCTCTCTCGCTGGTCAGCTATCTGGAGCGGGAGCGTTACTTCCTGCCCTGGGACGCCGCCTTCAACAACCTGGGCTTCCTCAACACCCAGCTGAGGCGGACGGCCGGCTACGGCGCGTTCCAGGTGCTGGACAGGATATTAATGCTCATTTCCACATCTAACTTTAATGAAAAATCCCATTTATTGACTCATGTGTTATCGATAAATCGATTTGCAAAAAAAGATCCTCGCGGTAACATTGTGTCGATGACTTGGTCTTAGCTGTAATGCGTTTGATGAATCATCTGCCCTCAGACATTCGTGTTGAAGCTCATCGGTCCTCTGTATGACCGCATCGGGTTCGAAGAGCGTCCCAATGACTCCCACATCGACCACCTGACTCGGAATCACGTGGTCGTTTGGGCATGTTCCATGGGTCACCCGGACTGTATCAGCAAGGCAGTCAGCATGTTCAAACGCTGGATGGAAGACCCCGACAACGCCAGGTATGCCGCCATTTCACAACTCAAAGTCAACTAGCCAATGGGTACCGGCATGTGTGCTTCAATGTTTATTATCAGTGCTGAATTAAATGGGAATAACCGCTTGTAACTAAAAGAAGAAACAATGTTACTGGATACCGTTTAGGCTACTGGAGGCTGAACTCAACCCACTGTCTTGTTGGAGCGAATGATGTAGCTTATCTTCCAACAGGATCGTACCTGCCAACATCCGCAGTAGCGTGTTCTGCACCGCTCTGCATGACGGAGGTCTCACCGAATGGGAGTTCGTCTGGAGACGCTTCAACAACTCCAACGTCGAGTCGGAAAAGGAGGAAATGCTGAAGGCACTCGCCTGCACTCAGGAAACCGTGCTTATAAATAAGTAAGCAATAAAAATACGAAATCTGGAAATAAACTTTATTACTATACTATAAATGCTAAGGGGAGATATCGGATCTTTTGATATTAGGGACTTACATCTTAAATTTGTGTCTTTTGTAAGGGGGAAACATGTATGGTAAACATGTTTGTATGTAAAAATGTAGTTCGAGCTTTCGATTTCGATTTATGAACTCTTTGTAAGATGTGGCCCCATGAGGTTATGACACTCACTGGTCCATATCTAGACAATGATAAATGCATGAACATTGATGAACATACTCAATTGCTAACATAAAGACTCATGAGTATACCACCATAGCATCCAACCTGCAGCGAATTCGCTAGTGTTTACGTGCCTTCATGGTTCCATTTGCCAGACTGCTTAGCTGGTTGATCACGCCCGATTCTGGACTTCGAGTGCAGCACGGCAACTTGGTCTTCAAATCTGTGGCCAGTAACCCGGCGGGCGGGGACCTTGCCTGGAGCTTCATGCGGGAAAATTCTAAAGAAATTGTCGAAAGGTAAGGCATATCAATTAACCCTATCGCCCATGACCTAATGTTCGTCATTACTTTATTATCGCAAGCAAAATATAAGCGCTTGAATGAAGCAATCACGAAAAGAAATAATCACTTATAGAGATGACTTTACTTGAGCGTTATTTGTTTCCCATTTTGCAGATACAGTAGTGCTCTGTTTTTACTTCCCCGGTTCATCGCAGCGCTCAAGGACAGCTTGAACACTGCACTGCAACTGGAGCAGGTCAGTTGATAAAAAGTACCCTTGTATGGTCGCTTTTTGTAATCCCACTTTTGTCGGTCGTTCTCTTGATTTTCATTTCTTAATATCAATATGTGTCATATCATTTTTCTTGTTTACTAGAAGACAGATACCAATGCGTTCTTGGAAACCAGCAAGCTACTGATACGCCAACGTGAATCTGTAGCGATAGAAGTCCATTGATAACGTACTCAGATCACGTCTCCGTCTCGTATAGTGCAAATGGTGTGATGAGGGTAAGGGTTATTAGCGTGAAAAGGGCAATCTCCGACTTTGCGAAACACTGGAGTCCAATGTTTCAATATCCTGACATGTTCCGTTACTTTCAGCTTCGTCAATTTTCAACTGAAAATGCGCATATTTTGGGCGGAGCGAGCCGGGAGATTCGACAGGTTTTGGAGCATGTGTCCGCTAGTGTTTCATGGATGGATGGAAAGTCAGATAAAGTCGTCAGATGGCTGGAAGGTCATATTTCATGAAGATATATGTGAACTAGGACCTCTCTTTTACGCTGTTGTTGTTCGGAGCCAATTTACCTCTTCATGTTTACCTCATCATGTTGTGTTGTGTCTTATAACGTTAAGAGCAGTTTTTAATCCTATTTCCAAGTGTTTTATCCCATGTCGTCTGTCGCGTTATCAAGCTGCTGTAGTTACGTAGCTTCCAATATATTTCCCCAACAGCACGTTGTCTCAAGGGCCTCTCTGGTCTTCTCCCTCCCCTCCATCGCACTCTCACCTTCCTGCGGGCAAAGTTCGGCAAACATCATACGCACTGCTCTGGACATAACTGCCTCACTGAGGTGCAGGGCCTCCTTGCCACACTCGCGGATGAAGGTGCGGTTGCTGCTCACGCGGTCGTTTTGAGGACGGCCGTTGACCAGGACGGCAGGAGTCGAGTCTTCAGAGGTAACGGGATCCTGACGGCCTTGCATAGAGTAGCAGGTGTGTCTGAGGAACCCCGTCGACTCCGGCAGGGCAGATGACCAGACGGTCAGACCAGGAACCTGCAACAGATGGGTGAGCTACAACACGGGGCACTAAAGGTGGCTTGTCACAACCCACAGAAACAATTGATGTCCTGCGGTAACAGGGCAGTTTGCTTTCGTTATTCTTCATTGTGTAAAACAAGACTGGTGGGTTAGCGTTTTTGGTGGGCCAAATACCCCCCGCAACAAGCAGCCATCACGCCATTGAGCATCTCACCTTCCTCGCTAAGTCGTACACCAGGCTGTGTACCACGGGAATCTCGGATGGGCTCGCGCTGTGCACCATCAGGTGCACGTCCGAGGGTGTCCCCTCATCCAGCTTCCATATCGTCCGTGTCAGAGAAGCCAGTCGCGTCAGGGCCGCTGCTGCACGTGCCAGCTGCGCGCGCAGGAGCAACAGAAGCTGCGCAGTGTCCCCGCTCCAGGCGTTTACCTTCAGCATTGCCTTCATGTACCAGAGCGCCCCGTTCACCAGCACCAGGTCTGGACAGTCGCGGTGACCACGCTCACAGCTCTCAGCGGCCGCCTCCAGCTCCGTCACCGTGGCCTCTGTCCAGAACGGCCGCCACTCGAACCGCAGCGACACGCCGGCGGCGGCGGCCGCGCGCGGACAGCAGTGCCACGGGCACACCCGACACCAGCGCTCCGGAGAGTTGGTCCAGTGGATGCCTCGCTGCCAGTCGGGATAACGATTGGTGTCTTCGGGCGGAGTAGGAACGCCCAGCTCCTGGGCCAAGTGTTGGTAAAGGTTCCGCAGACGCGAGTCGCCCAGAAGAAGGATGGAGGTGGGCCTGCGGCGGCGCCGGGCGCGCCGCTCCACACAGCGGCGCAGCAGCGGCCCGGTGAGCGGCGGCGGCAGGCAGGTGTCGCTGTTCGGTGGCGCCGCCTCCTCGCGGTACCGGACCGAGCCCAGACGGTACACGCGCCGACAGACGGACAAAGACGGTGTCGACGGGGACCCGGAGGGCGCTGGGGGCCCTGAAAATATCTTCGCTGTCAGTTTTTCCTGGTCAAATAAATTCGGTTGGTGTACTCAAATGCACAGTAAGCATGGCATACTTTGCATTTGAAACCACGAAACCCTGAAACTTTATTTGACAAATTCCCTGGTAAAGCAATTTCCAAACTAGGTATGTCTTTAGGATTGCACAATGCACAATCATATTGCCTGAAATGCCCAACGGCGGAAATGGCACCTTTTGACTCGCCATTCCAAGCCAGCAAATGTGGTGTGGGCCGTAGCTGGTTTTACTGTGGCTAGCTCCGGCATTTGCTCCGGCCAAAGTACTGGCAAGGTCTGGGGCTCTACTGGAGCTGACACATGATCCCAGAGCTTGCCCGCACCACAGCCGGATTTGAGCCACTTCAGCCGCGCCGTAACTCGATCCGCAACCGTACTTCAGCCACAGTAAGCCAGAGCATCAACGAGGCAGCCGGACCTGGCCGTAGGAAGCCGGACTTGAGCCGTGGCGGGGAGCCGGACTTGGGCCAGACTTGGCAGTCCGAAACCATACCAACTCGGGAGCGCTCAGGCAAAGGCTGGCTAACCGGGATAGAGCCACATCGACCCAAACCGCGGCTCTGACGGCGTTCCGTTTACACCGGCCCACCTCTGGCATGTCGAAGTTGCCGGGGCAAAACGGACTTGAGCCAAACCAAATTGCCATGGCTGCGTTTCGCCCAGCGAGGACCGGCAACATTATTGATAAGGCCGTGGTCGTTGAACTTAATTCTATACCTACGCTTGCGTTAGTTATCAGGCACTGTGGCTATATCAATAACAGCGATCGTTTCAATAGTTCTGCTGCCTCTTAAATCAGAGCAGAAACATTTTCTGTTCTCAGCTACATATGGGTTCTATTGAAAAAAAGGCACAAAACAGAACCTTAACAACCACAAAAAGACTGGACTCGTGCGGATAATGCGAGCTGACATACGCCAAAACGCGATTCCGGCCAAGCACGGTTCGAGAAACAGGTCAGAGGTCAAAGGTCAATTGGTCAAGGGTGATCAATGTTTCAGAGTATGCGTAAAATTGATCAACTCAATGGCACTGAAAGTTTTGTTGCGATTGACCGCATTTTGTGCGAGCTATTTCCGAAAAACCGAGGAGGGTCCGTTCAACCCCTCCCTCCCCAGGTGCGAGGGTTTTAAAACACTCATATATAAGCGGAAATAATTAACCTGGAAAAGAACAAAACGAATCATCACGATGACATCATGTGTTGAGTGTGAAAAGGTGTATATTTTAAACATATATTTTTTTATACATTCGTACCTGAAGGATTAACGCACCAGAAACCCAGTTGAATTCGTGAATGGTAATTGGGAGCTGCAGATATTACTACGTGAAGCTAAGAAAGGTCATCATTTTCCAGCTCACCTGTTTGGCTAAAGCATACAATCAGCAACTGGACCAGGAACACAACCAACACAATCTGCGTTGCACCTCGAAGTCGCCATCTTCTCAGCAGGACTCTGCGTGGCCACAAAATGGCCATTCTATGCCACTATGTAGCATGACACCGTGTTGCTCACTGTCCTCTATTCGCTGCCACAAACCACAACCCGAATCACTCGTCTTTACACTTTCTGACCTCTCGGAATGGATCGCCACCACTCTCGGCAGTTCAATCGGTGTGGCGCTGCAGCTGCCGGTGCCTGAGCCGCCGTCTGCACTCTGCACGGTACACCGCCTGGGGCGGTCCGGCCACTGACCCCGGACCGAGAGAGACGCCGCAGCGCCGCGGCGGAGAGACGGCAGAGGTAGCAATGCTGATAAATGTTGTTTGTAACTAGCTCATAGGATAAAGTTGATGTAGAATGCGCGTAAAATAATCAGTTTTATCGAGACGCATAAAGTGAGTACCGGGATACGATTGGTATTTCAAAAGTTGCCCATGCATTATCGATAAACAAAAGAAAAAATGGTTTTCAATGTGCGTACTTCTGTGTGCAATGCGAGGTTCCGCGCAAATTAGATTTATGGGATAAAATCTTGAGCATCAGCTGACTGTTTATAAAATTAAGCATAAAAGCGAGCTTTTTATGACCGACCGTTCTTTTTAAATTGCCTTATTGGTTGGTTTTCATTTTATTTTCCGGGTTAAGTACCTAATTGTGCATGAAAAGTCTAGCCTACCCAGCTGCAACGCCCGGTAACAACCCTCCCTTCATATTCCATACTGCACACACATTGCAAGGAGTGCAAGTTGCAACAAACACCTCCCATTCCCGCTGAGTGACTCAGCGTGTTTCCGCCGCGTAGGGTCGTTCCCCGTTGTTTTCGTCGCCCGCCGAGCGCCCAGTATGCGGTCAGGGTGGCTCGCCCCGCGGTGGAGGGCGGTAATGGCATAGATCAGACGGCAGGAACGCAGCTGATGTTTGGCGTGTCGCCGGCCCATCCTGGGAGGGAGGCAGTCCCCGGGCAACAGGTGACCGGACCAATCAGCCCCGGATCGGCCCCGCAGGACGCGCATGTCGCCGATAATTACAGGCAGGAACCGGCCTCCCGCTGCGTCAGAGGCCGGCCGAGGGGATGGCATACGCTGTGGGGTAGTGAATGGTTAGTGGTCACTACACACTTACAGGTCAAAACGGGGGCGAAAAAGATAGGTATTTGTTGAATTGTCTTTTTGGCTTGCCGGGGTATTGAGTAAGATGTCACAGGTCCAGCGGCATTTGGGTCAGGGTGGTGAAATTTTCAGAATTGGAGACGTTGCAACAAAACAACAATGTCGAATGTGTTAAAATGAACTATAGGCAGGCATCATCTTACATTTTGACTCTAACACATTCCATGAGCAAATACAAAAATGTGTTACCTTATCTCAGCAATAGGTAGGTACATCATTTGATGAAGATGCATTTTATTCATTCATTGCATATAACTATAATTAAAGTCGTCAAATGGCATGTGCCAAACATTTCTCGTCACCCTACAGGTACAGCGACTCAGAACACGCATTCATCCATTGTCACCAATAATCGCATGATGATTCAATGATATTTCATCTTCCTTTGCACCGATAGGATTCGACCGTGTCATTCGACATGACCGCAGTGAGATCAGCTCACAGGCTGTTAGGTGTTACTCCTTTCCTTTGTACTCAGTCATTGACCAGAAGAAAACACCACACACCGTGCGCTACCGCAGAAATCTATAGATGACTCCAACCAGCAGGACGAACACCAGGCACAGGATCACCACGGTGATCAGCTTGGCGAACAGATTCATGTGCTCCTCAGCCTCGCTGAAGTGGCTGCGCCGTTTGTGGCGCACCTCCTTCCCTGCCAGTGTGGGAAACGCCAGTCTCTGGGTGAACGTAAGCCGGCCTGCGGTGGCCACGGCCGACCATGATTCCTCTCCTCCGCCTCCTCCGCCTCCTCCGCTGACACTGCAGCAGGTTCCGGACGCACCTCCTCCACATCCGGCACCTCCGCCGCAGCCGCAACACTTCCTCTCGAAGAGGACCGAGTGGCGCGCGGAGGTCAGTGACAGCACCTCGCTGAGCCGCGACAGAGTGGAAGAGCGTCTCGGAGAGCGGATGACGGCCTCTATCAGCCGGCTGGCGGCGGAGGAGGAGGACGAGGAGCCCCGCGAGCCGCGGCTGGAGCGGCGCGACTCTGCCAGTACCAGCGCCAGACGGCCGCGGCTGCAGCGGCTGCATACACTGCACGAGCGCTGCGACAGGCCCGAGCTGCGCCGCGAGCCGGCCGGCGACACGGAGCTGCTGACTGAGCTGCGTGCCGAGCTGCGCGCCGACGCGCAGCTGCTGGAGCTCTTGCGGCGCGGCGCGGCCGGCGCGTCGAGTCGGGAGGTCGGCCGGCGCGGCGACTGGCATGGAGACAGACAGTCCAGCTCCAGAGTGATGGTGGCAGGGGAGTCGTGGTCAGCGTGCAGAGGTGTCGACTGGTCATCGTGCGGCAGACACAGGTCACCGTCCGGCGTCAGCCACACCTTGACGGAGGGCAGCCGACGCTCCATCGGGGTCATTGGACCTGGCGAGCGGGGACAGGGCAGCGTTAGTGAAGGACGGGTCAGCGGGGTCAGTGTTGAATGCCTGCAGGCCTAGCTATGCGGAGAACACAGCTTGCTGCGCAAGTTGGAGCACCTTTACCACCACCACCGGCGTTCGCAGTGCGTGTTTTTAATGTTAATAAACTCATTGTTTTCTTCCTTTTACGAGCATTACACTCAGAAAACACTTTGAGAACATTTTTGAATAAGGGCTCATATGAGTGCCAAAACAGGGCTCAAATCTGTATGATTTTAAAATCGGGATCAGTTAGGCGCCCTTTTCGGGCTCAAAGTACATTAGCCCCGAAAGCGGCATCAGTTCGTCTTCCTTTTCGGGCTCAATTCGAGCTGCGTTTTAGGGCTCCATACGACATTCCGCCATTCCGTCTTTTGCTGTTTTCAGTGCCATGTGTACCTACCGCCGTGATTTCAAAATGAATGGTAAGTTATTAGTTATCAGTTATCGCTATCTTTTAGAAAAAATCAAGATGTTGATGCTCATGCCATTTTAATCCCTTATCAATTAAAATTGTGGTGGCATTTGTTCAGAAAAGGTCTGAACTACAATTGTGGCGCCGTTGATACGAATACGCACGGGTTTGATTATTCGTTTTTCTTGTATTTGCGCCACATGAAAGCATCATATCTGGATTCAGGATGTCAAATAGTGTAAGAATGTGCAAAATTTTTGTCTGGTTCTTCGTGATGATGTGATTGAAGCAATACTTTCAAGGGTAGGTAAGGATTTTGTTACTTGTTCGTAATGGTTTCTTGATGCTCAACTAAAATTAATCCTAACCTTGCCTACTAACCTATTAAAGGGACACTCCCACCTTAACATTAGTTTTGAGTTGAGATAGCCAAATTGGTGGCCATGGCCTGCAAATACCGGTTTGGGCACTCACAACATCGACAAATGCTTTAATTCGGAGGTATGGAATTTCAAACTTGCAGTTTTCGGATTCTAAGGGGCTAGTGCATTGGTATGCCCCCTTAGAATTTGTAACGTCAGCGGAGATCTTACGATTTTTAAATGTTTGACTAAAACGTTTGGTAGCACGCGGTGGTATATGCTGCTTTGCGCGCAACAAATGCCGCACTTTCAAATAAAGTCGCTAGGAACAGCCACGGACGTATAAATAAACTGGACTGACAATCCCAGTGGACCTCCTATGGAAGATAGTGAAGCCGACAAGGCGCCATTTTACGTTGCCAAAAAACCGTGCTCTGGAAGGTCATCGAGCCAATACAATTAGAATTGCGTCCAAACGGATGATCGGATCGAGATGCTGTTGGTACCGTTCGACGGGTAATTCCTTGAGGCAGGTGATGATGGATGTCACATGTCACCCGGTGTCACATGGCGCGTGCCACGTGCCGACAAATTTACAAAGGGCAAAAACCTTTAAGAGACGCTTCAAATCAAACGAAGGGCGGCACAGGTGCCAAACTCACAGGTCACATGTCCCAGTGTTCGACCACTAACATATGGTATGCTCGGCATCAGGGGGTGCGGAATGCACGCGCTAGTGGCGAAAAACATGTTTTGAGGAGGCATCCTCCGATTCCGGAAAACCTTGACCTAGGCACACCAAATTTGGCACACTGACACTACTGGACACGCGCTTTAAGGTGCTGTACAAATAGGCGTGCTGGGGCACACGGTGCACGTGCTGTGCACGTGCAAACCTTTTGATGTTGCACTCCAGGTATCACATATGCGGGTAGGGCGGGTAGCGCTGGCAAGCTCAAAGTGCCAAATTTACACAGGCCACCCAGAATGTATTCCAGCATATTTATTGAGCATGTCCATATCCTGGTGGCCCCCAAAGGTGCGCTCTGCACGTGCAAAAAAATTATCCGCGCCGGGCGGTGGGGATGCTTGGACACCCTATGTGGATTTATGTAAATATCTCGAAAACGGCGTTGTGTAGCGCCGCCGTTTTCGGCACACCTTTTCATACATCTTTTTCACAAATGCTGCATAACTTTCAGACTTAGGTCACTCAAGGTTAGGTCACCAGGTTACGTCCAAGTGGCCTTACCTTAGGAAAAAATTATAATGCCCGTTATAGCTACACAGACTATACAATCGGCATAAAACGTGCAGCAATTGATAAGATCAACAGTATATACGTAGAGTACCTACTTCTGCCTAGAAATTTCAATATTACTGACCTAGGGTTCTGTCATGATTTTGCGACCTCAGACCACCAGCACGGCAAATCATTTATTTTGTCAAATTCGGGCTCCTAAACTTTTTGCTACCCAGCAACGCAAATTTACGCCTCAATCGCCGGCCAGCGCAGCATAGGCATCTTTGTTATCAACGCTGTTTGCGCCTGCAGTAATACTGTACCGTAATAACCATTATCTTCATCTTTCACCCATAGATGGCAGTAGCAAAGCGCCTGCATCTATGCTGTGCCGCAGTGCTCTTACAATACGAGCTGAGCAATAAGCATTGAGCAAGCAAGTGATATTGAAATCATAGGCGGCGGAACGAGGGGGGGGGGCACCGGAGCACCGTGCCCCCTTTGATTTTGGCATTTTAACATAGCCCTTTCCATGCCAACGCCCTATGGGCGTTGCATGGAAAGAATGGGACCAACAGTCGGCAGTGCCCCCCTTTAACCCGCGCCCTGCTGGGGGGGTGTTTGAACCCCCCCCCCCCTTGTGGTTTTTCGCGAATATCTCAAAAACGGCGGCGCGGAGCGCCGCCGTTTTTGGTACACCTTACCATACATCAATTCTACACATGTTGTGAAAATTTCAGACCAAGGTCATTCAAGGTCAGGTCACCAGGTCACTTGAAGTGACCTCACCTCATAAAAACTTTCAATGTCTGTCATAGCTACACCGAGTGACCGATCGCTTTGAAACTTTCAGCGATTGCTAAGAGCAATAGCATGTACAAAATGTATGTCTCAGAATTTTGATATCGATGACCTAAGGTCAGGTCAATTTTGCGACCTCCCCATTATAAGTCAATGGGAGAAAATTGAAATGCGCCTCTTTTGGATGAAAGACATTATAAACACTCCCAAACACCGAATTACAAGTGGTTTAGACACACTGAACTTGAAAATGGTGTCCGTGACCCTTGTTTATGCCCTGAGGTCATCTTAGGTCACGAATGGTATCTAACAGTTTTTCGCAAATAACTTTTGATAGAGGCATGCTAGAGCGATGAAAACGCCTTAGATGTGTTCAGCTCGACGATACGGATCGACTGATATGCAACATGACCCTTTCCGGTCAGGTCATGACCTTGACCTGAGGTCAAATTTTCAAGTTGACCTTTCAAGGTCAAGTTATAGTTCATTCGATGCGTCTTGACGAGAGGAACACGATGCCGGTAAAAGTAAGCTCGTACAAGGCTTGGGTCAAAAGTTATTGCAGAAAAACTGTTTTCGAAAAAATCGGCTATTTTTACAGTTTTTGCCCCCTGCAGGCAAAACCGTTGACGTTAGGTCAAATCTGAGAGAATTACTCAGAAAGGGCCTTAATAGGGCTATCGAATGCGCTTTTCCGCGGCGCTGTAGCTCTATTAGTTCTCGAGTTATGCGTTGGCTTCTTGGAAATTTTCGACATTCGACCTGGAAATCGGCGAAATTTTGCCTTCAATGACCTCTGGTGACCTGACCTTTGACCGGACCAAAAAATTGACCGAAGTGATTTCGTCATTATTTTTTACGCTCTTTCGAACGCCGCCTTCCGCGTATCGCTACGTGGCCCAGGAGCCGAGTTACAAGGGGGGGTGTTCAAACACCCCCCCCCCCCAGCAGGGCGTGGAAATCCAGGACCCCCAGCAGGGCGCGGGTTAATTGAAGGTGTTCCGCCGCCACTGATTGAAATTCCGAGGTAGAGGTACTCTACGTATATACTGTTGCTCTCATCAATCGCTGCACGTTTTAAACCGATTGTTCAGTCTGTGTAGCTATGACGGGCATTATAATTTTTCCAAGGTAAGGTCACTTGGGCGCAACCTGATGACCTAGCCTTGAGTGACCTAAGTCTGAAAGTTACGCAGCATGTGTGAAAAAGATGTATGAAAAGGTGTGCCAAAAACGGCGGCGCTACACAACGCCGTTTTCGAGATATTTACATAAATCCACATAGGGTGTCCAAGCATCCCCACCGCCCGGCGCGGATAATTTTTTTGCACGTGCAGAGCGCACCTTTGGGGGCCACCAGGAGATGGATATGCTCAATAACTATGCTGGAATGCATTCTGGGTGGCCTGTGTAAATTTGGCACTTTGAGCTTGCCAGCGCTACCCACCCTACCCGCATATGTGACACCTGGAGTGCAACATCAAAAGGTTTGCACGGGCACGGCACGTGCACCGTGTACCCAAGCACGCCTATTTGTACAGCACTTTAAAGCGCGCGTTCAGCAGTGTCAGTGTGCCAAATTTGGTGTGCCTAGGTCAAGGTTTTCCGGAATCGGAGGGTGCCTCCTCAAAACATGTTTTCGCCACTAGCGCGTGCATTCCGCACCCCCTGATGCCGAGCATACCATATGTTAGTGGTCGAACACTGGGACATGTGACCTGTGAGTTTGGCACCTGTGCCGCCCTTCGTTTGATTTGAAGCGTCGCTTAAAGGTTTTTACCCTTTGTAAGTTTGTCGGCACGTGGCACGCGCCATGTGACACCGGGTGACATGTGGCATCCATCATCACCTGCCTCAAGGAATTACCCGTCGAACGGTACCACCAGCATCTCGATCCGATCATCCGTTTGGACGCAGTTCTAATTGTATTGGCTCGATGACCTTCCAGAGCACGGTTTTTTGGCAACGTAAAATGGCGCCTTGTCGGCTTCACCTGAATGGAGGTGGTTGCGGGTCCAGTTTATTTATACGTCCGTGGGAACAGCGGAGATCCCAAAAAGTAAACAAAAGTAAAAGTCTAATATCTTGAAAACCGGTGAATATTTTTGATGAAATTTGGTATCCGAAGGTTGGGACTTTTCAATTAGACAATCACTATTCTTTAGAATTGTGATTTTCTATTGAAAATCCCAACCTGAGCTACCTCTCTAGGGGGGTGTTTATAAACAAAAGTAAAAGTCTAATATCTTGAAAACCGGTGAATATTTTTGATGAAATTTGGTAACCGCAGGTTGTTTCTTCATTGACAAACACTATTCGTTAGAATTGTGTTTTTCTATTGAAAAACAACCGGAGCGGTCCTTCTCCGGGCTATGGTTTGCATACTTGGCCTGAGATTGGGGCAACTTGGGTGGGGCCTAAACGAATCGCTCAATTTCCGTAAAAAGTTCAGGGTATGGGCTGCCGGAGGCGATCTACCTGATGGCATCGGTCGCTACTCGCTCAGAAATCTTTTGCGCGTGGCACGTGCAATTCCATTTTTCCCATAGTAAGTCAACGGGGTTTTGGACACTTTTTGCGCGATCGCGAATAGCGGAAAAAATCGCCGATCAAGGTATGGTTTGCTGCACACCATTTTATGACCGACACGTTTAGGTACACGCCCGTGGGCGCCGTATACCCGTCAGAATTCGTTAACTTGAGTTGCACGAGTTTGAAGTTGAACTTTTTTTGCTCCCCATGCTAAGTCAATGGACGTTTTTGCAGAGACATTTTCATTCGTTCATTGCACAAAATTATATGATACGATTTTGTTTAAACTTTCAGGACCTGTTGAGAAACGACCATAGAACATGTTGTTATGCTTCGTTATGAAATATAATGACCCGTTTTGGGGTAATCGGCACGTGCATTTTCCCATAGGGTTAACATGGGAAAAAATTAAAATGCGATTTGCGAAAAATTTCGTCAATTATATTTGCTGATATTTTTAGGGTCGGATCTCGGGCTGGCACCCCAACTGACGGTGGTAATTACTTAAAATATAATTGACAAAATTTCGGGTAATCGTCACAAACAGTTACCCCATGTTGAGCCTATGGTGATTTCGAAAAATTATTTTCAAATCGATTTTGTCAAAAATTTCCACGTTAGATTTTGAAAATGTTCCAATATGTTGTGCCCCAGGGTGTCGGCTACCACATGG